CCTCTTTGCCGGGGGGGGGGGGCCCCCCTTTCGCTTTTTTGGGCCCCTCGGGGGGGGGGGGCCAAAAAAAAAAACCCCAGGGCCCCACGGGAGGGGGTAAAGTTATGGCCAAACCCCCCCCTTTTTTTCGCTTAAGTTTGGGGGCCACCCCCCGGGGTTCTTCAAAAAAAGAAAACAACCCTTTTTGGCCCTGTTGGCCTCCCCCCCCCCCCCTCTCGGGGGGGGGTTTTCCCCTTTTTTTTTTCCCCCCCCGGTTTTTCATTTTTTTTTTCCCCCCCCCCCCCCCCCCTCCCCCCCCCCGCCTCTCCGTCTCAGCCCCCGCACCTGGACCTCCTTCCGGATGTCCTTCTCGATGTCCTTGAGCTCCTGCGCCTCCGCGAGGCCGTTGTCCACGAGCAGGTTCTTGACGAACTCGATGGGGTCGCGGGCCGTGCGCATGGACGCGATCTCGTCGCGGTTGCGGTAGGTCGTCCCGGGGTCGGACATGGAGTGCCCGTGGTATCTGACAGTGTGAGGGGGGTGCATGCGTGTGAGTGTAACGGGGGCGGGGGCGCATAACCACGTCGTTTATTCCGCAAGCGGGGCGCATCTTGCGTGAGGGATTACATCATTAGATCAAGCACCGCCAGGTTGTGCCGACGAATGTGCTCTCGGGTAAAGAATTATAGCGGGAACAACTATAATCTGCTTGTTTAGTCATGGGGCTGTGACTGGAGGCAAATGTTAAGAGTTGAAAACAGAACAACCGTGGGGTGGACAGCGGGAGAAACCCGAAGTGCCAATATACCGAGCCCTCGACTGCTGTCGGTAGTGAACGAAAGCGTAACCAAAAACAAAAGGCGATGCATGTGTTACTATGGTGCCGTCCTGCCAACGGAAACGGAGTATTGGCGGGCCGTACGAGACAGTGCGACGGCTGTGAAAAGTGCACAAATAGGTTAGAACATGGCAGAGAGGAAGAGCTCGAACAAAATCCCCGGGTTAACACGCCAGAGGCGCAGACAGCATCACAAAAAACACCATACTTTCGTTCAAACCTCCACTCAAACACAACCGTTTAAGCGATCGCCGCCTGAGGCAAGGCGGGAAATGCTTCTCACCGGTAAGTGTCGACCTCAATGTAGATTGGGCCGTTGCCCTTGGAGCACCAGTCCTTGGCGAACGCGAACCCCTATTGGACACCAAACGCCGCCACGAAGGAGGGGGGGGGGGCAAAGTTCTTGAGCTCAACAAATCATCACAAGAACCGTGCGTATCGTGTGACACCGCCCAGTACACAGGTGAGGGTATGCACACTTGGGCGCACTAGATCGGGGAGAAAATGGGGTGTGAGTTGCAGGACACTCGACAGACAGGTCGGACCAAGGCACAACGTTGAAAGAGGTGAGCCCAACCGAAGAAAACAATACGACAACCTTTCAATGAAAACACTACGCTTGCGATGACATGAAGTCTCCGCGCTGGTCCACTGAACAAGTGTTCTACTTCGCAACGGTCAGCGCGTGGACGCCGCTCATGTACTCGGCAGCATACGAGAGCCAAGCGCCGACATTTGCGTTGCCCCCACAAGCGCCGTCTGATAGCCCTCGAAAACGTTGATGCCACCCAAATCACACCCATGGAAGCAAGGCGTGAGTCCAAGTCGGCTTCCTTCCTCGCAGCTTTCGATGTTCGCGCCTACGAGTGCCGAACAAAACAACACCGCGAGCCCTGCAGTCGCCTTTTCTCTCTCGTTCATTAAACTGGCCTCGCACCTCTCTGATCATGAGCACGTTCATGCCGTCCAGCTTGAAGCCGGGGATGTGGTTGCCCATGGTGTAGTAGGTGGAGTTCGATGATGACCTCTCCTTCGAGGTCCCCATGCCGTACTGGTTGTTCTCGATGCAGTAGATCATCGGCAGCTGAGGACGATAGGCGGGCAAGCGAGTGCGCGCTCAAGTGTTCCGATCGCCATTTTGGCAAGACATGTGGTACTTGCCTACTACGCGCCGACATCGCCGCGGATTCGCGTTCGAAATACCGTCTGCTTAAAACGTGGAAAGAGAGCCCTGTGGGCAGATCCAGATAAAAAAAAAACGAACGCCAACAGAGCTTTCTCCAAGACGCTGGAAGATTGCTCGCAGAACATGTACGCCTTGCTGCCGAATTGTAGCCGAAACGCTTGTGGGTAGCCCATTCCTCTCAAAACACCCTGCACACGTACTTGAACGATAGTGCCATTTTGTTGGGTTCACTCTTAAAAAACTCTATTTTCTTTCCACTAACTTTCCTGTCTTGCTTCAAATAGCCGGCCTACAGCAGTACCTTCCACAACGAAGCCATGTTGGCTGCCTCCCAGATCTGTCCCTGGTTGGCCGCTCCATCCCCGTACATGGCCAAGGCCACGGGCGTGTCCTCCCCCGCCGGCGCCGAGTACTTGCTCGCAAACGCAAGCCCGGTGCCCACCGGCACTTGCGCGCCCACGATACCTGCAAATTGCATTGCCGGTTGCCGGTGGAAACGAAAGCCCACGGGTGGGAGAGTTTCGGTTATCTCTCGGAGTGCTGCACCTCGGTAGCGTCCTGGATGGCTGCGGCTGTTCAGCAGCTCTACATACTGGTAAGCAAGAACCCAGAATTCTCACTTGTTACCCGTATACGCGTAAGAACTGCGGCCGTGTGGCGATTGTACACCCCCCCATTCCAACGTATAAAGTAGGTCATACGGTTGTCTGCATTGCTTGGTAGTACAGCTAGGCCAGCGAGGTAAGCCTCGACGCGGCAGCGTGGCAGGCTTTGTGTGCGTGCACGCTCACCCTGCCCCCCGAAGAAGCTGTGCTCCTTGTTGTACATGTGCATCGATCCCCCCTTCCCGCGGGACACGCCCTCCTTGAACCCGAACAACTCGGCGAAGACCGACTCCACCGTGCCCCCCCGCGCCAGTGCCGTGCAGTGGCATCGGTACGAGGTGATCCAAGAGTCCTGGAGCGCGCGGCAACAGCATTAGGAAGACGCAGCAACGAGGCACATCATGCCGTCAGTGTTAGTCACTCGTAGCGTTGCGACGGGCAGGCATTTGATTGATAGGAAACGGAGGATGGTTGAGCGGAGTAGGGGAACAACCACGAGGAAGCGAGGGAATCGCTCGGGCATAACGACTTGGGGGTTGTAATGGGGGGCGCGCCAGCCAGGGAAGGGAGACACGGGGGGGGGGGGGGGGGGGGGGGGGAG